AGCCTTGGACACTTTATAGCGTATTTCTACAGTTCTACTGTGTCCAGCAGGGTCGCTGTGAGTTTGGATTTTCATGTTAGGTTGGATCACTACTAACCAAAAGATGGACAGATCAAACCCACCCAGGGATGACTCAAAGGATAGGCCCGGTACGGCATAGAAAACCCAACAGAATACAATTAGACTCTGGGACATGTCACCATGAATCAGAGCCTATTCACAGCAGCTGACGACAAAGAGTTGGGTTCAGGATCTACTGCCTAGCAATAGCAGAACGTCTCTGCTTTCCATGATTGGTGGGGAATGTTTTGTCCTACCACTCCAGCCACCCCAGTTCTCCGGAGACTCTGTTCGGAGAGAACCCTAAAATCATTTACGATTGATACAAAGCATTAGCAGCATCTGCCGTTTGTTGACTATGTAGTGTGTCAAGAAGTGTAGAAGATCTTCGGAATGGTTTGTCACACTCAGTTAAGCCAACGAACCGTCTATGATTAGTCCTCGTGCTAGAGATGAAGAAGGTGAGAGAGGTTAAGTGACTTGCTCAAAGTCACACAGCTGGAAAGCGGTCAAGCAGGGATTGGACCATGAAGCGTGTGCTCTTAGCTGGGACGCTGGCAGCTAGGGAGGGGCAGGAGACCAGCACGGTTCCAGAGTCAGGATGTCTGGGTCTGAGCCCAGCATTGTAAGGAGCTACAATCAAGTCTCACACGACTTCTCTGTTCCTGTACAGGTACCCGGGGGTGGTGCCATCCGGTGGACACATGGTATTCCTGATGGCCAGAAGGACATGTCCATATCACACCACTTGGTTTTACAAAGTAGAAGCGTGGGCTCTCGATCTCTGGTGGATGTCATCTCAAGCTGTTAATTTTCCTTCTATTTTTTTTTTTTTTTAGGTAATGAGCCAAAAAGATCATGTCTGAAGTACAAGGGACGGTTGAGTTTTCTGTGGAGCTACATAAGTTTTATAATGTGGATCTTTTTCAGAGAGGGTAAGTGTTTATCTATCTATCTATCTCTCATCTATCTAGCTGTCTGGCTAGCCATACTCTTCCCCATACCAACAGGGAAAGGGAGAAGGAGTTATGTGTTCTGCCAAGTGGAAAAATCAAACTCATTAATGCATCAGAAAATAAACCATATATTCATAGAAACTAGATAATGCTAAATCTTCTCCTGCCTTCTGCTCCTCTCTGCTCGGTTGCTGTCACCATTACCTATGCCAGATTTAAAGGAACGCAGCGCTGTGGGAAATGAAGCTGTCCTGGGAAGCTCGAACAAACAGGGATCCAAATGCTCAATCCGGGTGGAGCCCTCTCCCCAGAC